ATATATTTAATCAAGATACGGCTAAAATAATTACTAATTGAAGATGCAAAATGCCCACTAAATAATAATATCATTCTCACCTTTTTTAAAGTCATGAAATTGACTACAAAAGTAACCACCACCGCTAAACATCCCTTGGATGAAAACTATATGGTATCGTAGTAGTTGAACTTTGGTCGACCAAATATATGAGAATTTAAATAAAGTAAAGTTTTTTTTTCAAATAAAATATCTATATAAACATCAAGATGTTCAAACTCGAACCATGTGTTCAAAAATCACATTAATACCAGATGTTTTTGCCAACTTAATCCAATATAAAAAAAATGGTCATGAATTCTCATCATTCATAAAAATTCGTAGAAAATTATAAAGATATATATAACCAACATGAATCCTTAAAACCCTGTGTTTTGTATTCTTGATAAGAGTAGTCATAGTATCATAACTGCTAATAGTGGAATTTGCCATATCAATGTGTTACTTGTTATGATTTTGATCATACATATTTAAACAAGTTTAGCCATGCAAATAAAGACAACTAAATTAATGTCGATTTTATAACATATATATGTTCCATAAAGCAAGAATGGGCATTGATGCTAGCCTATAAAAGTCATAGCTTTAGTGGGATTTAACGATCATGTAAGACTTTTGACGCTTGGTGTTACTTCAATTATCCACCTTGTCTCATATGATCGACTAGTATCTTTAGTAATTTTAATTCTTTATCTTTTATGAAATTATAACCCATTATAGTAAGGACAAAGAATACGAAAAAGAAAATATGTTTTAGGTGTATCTCTTCTCCATCAGATGTCATCACATCCTTATCCTCTATAGCAACACGGTCAAAGTTACACTTCATGTAACTGTGACCAAACTATAAGAAACCAACATTGATCTCGCATGCTATGTTTTGTATCTCAACTTAGGCATACCAAGCTCCTCGTGGCAAAGCACAGTTGGTTACAAGGTGGTAGTATATTTGCATAGATTAGCAATGATTTGAGTATGACAGTTGCAGTTAGGGGTGTATGCAGGTTGGGTTGGACGGTTTTTGATATTTTTATAACCCAACCCAATTATGGAGGTTTGCAAAATCTCAACTAACCTAACTCATTCAAAAGTATAAACCCAAACCAATCCTTGTGGGTTAGGGTAGGTTGGATTGGGTTGACGGGTTAGTAATACACATACTTCATATGTTCATCTATGCAATGTAAACAGAAATTTATATGAAGAAAGAAAGCAACTTCTACACATTTGTGGTTCCAACTGCTAGGAGCAACTATGCAAGAAAGAATCATACACTAAAGTACATATATCAAACATTGACATCATACAATTGCATGTATGATCACTATGTCTATGCTTTTTCAAAAGAAATCAAGTAAATATCCCAACTCCTACAAGCTCCTCAAGATTGTTGGCCATATATCCCATATAGGTAAAAAAGAATTAAATCAATACAAGACATGATCCATGGTACCGAAGGTTTTTTAAAAGGTATCTAGCAACAACAACAACCGACAGTGTTTCTTGGCGTCCAATAATGCTAGATCCAGTCCTTTCAGTGTACTCGTGTTAAAGGAATACGGGGGTAGAATGGAATTGAGGCGTATTGATGGACTACTAGATAGCTCGTAGAGCGTCCGACCTAGTAGGATTAGTTCGGCGCTATAAGTTAGACTAATATATGTATGTATTTTTTAGGTTGTAAATTATAATCGATGGAAATATTTCATATATATATCACGTTATATTTTATTACAAGACAATATTCAAATTAGTATAATGATTTAATTAATTATCTTGACAAAGCGAATATTACCTTGATAAAACAATTATCAACTTGTAGATGAAAAAATGACAAGATAATATAAAAATAATTATATATTTCTCAACTTTTTTAAAGTTCACAAATTGACTAAACACTCAACAACCACCGCAAATTATATATCTTCTGGATTTTATCGAATTCTTTGTGGACAAAATAAGGTAATCAATTTTACATTATAGATTTAAATTTTAATAATTACAAAACAGTTTACCAGCTTCTTCTTTTTTTTTGTATTTATCAGTTAGTTATATAAATAGTTCAAAAAATTTAGATATTCTAGAAAAATAATTATAAAGTATTTATATTTATCTGCATTAGTTATACAAATTCCAATATGATTGTATTTATGTTTAATCAACTTGTAATCTTGAATTATAAGTAATATTTAAATATCTAATGCTTTATAATAATATAATATATTGCTTAAATGATAGTTAAATATACTATTAAAAAGTTCAAAATTGTCCTTTCACATGGCTTAAATCATAGATCAAACCTTAGACTATAATTTAAACATATAAAACGGTTTATAAAAAATATAAAAAATTTGTATATATGTAATTATGAGATCGAAATCTAGTAAAAATCTAATCTGTGTTTGTCCCGTAGCTAGCCATGATACCATAATTGGAAACGGTGTAGTTTATCATATATGTACCATGCCATAATAGTAATGATTTGAAACACTCAATTATTTGGCCAACACCAACAATATTAATTTTGGTTTTAAACAAAGTTAATAAAAAGTAAAGTTATTCGAATTTTTTATGTATACCATACTCTTAAGTCCCCCCTATATATTGGATTTGTTTGGCTCAGTTTTATTTATATTTGACTTTGACTCTTTTTAGAAATATCAATCCTCTTAACCACAAGGGTGGTATCTGATTGGTTTGAGCTTTGTTCTAAAGGTCAAAAGTGTCGGGAGGTCCCAGGTTCAAATCTAAGGAGAAACAAAAATCCCCTTGTGTCTACGGAGATTCAAATGTTGTGACTCCAGGATACCTGCAAAGCAGGTGGTTGCTCTAGGATTAGTCGGCTCGCAAAGCGGGTTGGATATCCAGGTTAATTAGAAAAAAAAACAATCCTCTTGTTAAGATCGTGTTCACAATTTTTGTATAGAATTTAAGTTGAAAGGCAAGTTTGATTCTATAGAAGAAATTGTGTGAATGTAAATGAACCCGACCCCTCCTACAATTTTCTTCTCATAAAAATATATATCAAACACTTGGATCTAATATTATGATGGTGAAAATATCTTCGACATAGCCAAACATATAGGTTTACGGTTTCGATGGGTTTGAAGATCTTAAATCCTTCACGATGTTGATGTTTTAGAATAGAGAAAAATATGCTTGTCTGTTTTTGCCTTTTATATTTTAATTTTTATGTATTTTTTTTAATTCTTTGTTATTTAATTAATCGCTTAACTTTTGTAAAAAAAAAAAACCAGTGTTAAAAAAACGTGTTGTGTCGTAAGGTACATATCCACCTTTATGATATGAATCATAGCGTTTATGTAAGGTATGGCACAGGACCAAGGTTCAAAATAGCATGAAGCGTGGCGTGGCGGCGATGTCAGACCTCAAACCTTAGGAGCCACAGTGAGGTTGCGGCGTTTTTTAAGGCATGATTTGTATGTTAACAAGTGTTCACCTTGTGTGAATGATTTGTACGTTAATACACACACATATATAGAGAGATATGTATAGAATATTTTTTTTTTTTAAATGCATTAATTTTTATTTAATAAATAACGATAATTATCTCATTAATTATCCTAATAATAGTTTAGGATGGATCCTACAAATTTTAAAATTCTCAAATAATAAAATCTCTATATGTGTGTGTGTGTATATATATATATGTGAATTTAAATTGTTTGATATCATTATAGTCATTGAATAATAAAAGAAAACATGAATTTATATATGTATAATAATATATGTGATATATATACTAATTTGCCGTCTTAATTCACGCCTTGAAAAACGCCGCGTTATCTTTGTGGTTTATAAGGCTTGAGGTTTTGACCTCGCCATCACATCATGACTCACTCTATTTTGAACCTTGGAAAACCATTTGTATTTTAATCTTTATTCACCATATAATTTTTTATATTGTTATGTTAAAATTTATAAATGTGTGCTAAAAAATCAATCATGTTGTAGAGAATCATCATTTCATCATCTTGAGTTATCATATAATTAACATAAATATAAGATGGTTTAATATAAATAGCCGATATCGGTTTCATGTGTGGTGCTAAAATTGTGTCGTTAAAATATCATCTGCAACTTCTTTGTTCATCTAAAGATTCTCGGGCCACCGGTGTTGATGAGGTTGTTACGTAATAAGCACCTAAATAACCCTTCTGAGGTTGAGGTTATTCAGGGGAAAAACTTAATGCACTATCCATCTTCGTGACAGTGACTTTTGGATGGTACGTCTAAATCAACCATCGTACAATAACTATCGACTCCATGTAATTTAGGTCACGAATACAAGAGTATTCGCACTTTACATCTTATCGACCAAAGACTTGCTTACATAAACACCTCTTTTTACTAGAAGTAAAAACTCACGACATACCCTTTTTATGTTAAAGTGTTGAAGCATCAAATAGCCCTGTTATAGTTTTAATCTTTAACCAGATAATTACCATAATATTTTCTTTTTAATCATGTGATAAAAATTTATATGATAAAGAAAATCAAAATACCCTTTAATAAACCACAATCAATTTATGTACATTGCAACGATCATCACTTTTAAGTCTTCAATTTTTTAGGATTTAGAAAAATGAATAAATATTCGAATAGAAATACTGAAGAATAACGATAAAGCGTTGTGATGGTAATTACGTAACATATTATACGTATGAAAATCGAATGCTTACAAAAAAGACCAAACAACACAATTGAATTTTGCAAATTAAAGTACCAAAAATCTATATGATCTTGTTACCTCATCGTTTTGGATCAAAATAGCCTCCAACGAGACAAAAAATCCTTATTACCGTAAAAGAAACATTTGAACATAAGTAGATGAAAAAAACACAATTATACTATTTGACGGAATACAAATAAGAAAGAAATGTTGATGTTTATTAACGAGTTAATTTGTCTCTCAATTAATGTTTCTTAGCATTAGATTGCAAAAACGACATCTTGATTATTCAAAAAGACAACACGAGATTTCTACTTATAGTAAAACAAGTTGCAAAACTCGAGAAAGTAACAATCCAACATACAGATTTGCATGAAAATCCACAAGGGTTATTTAAAGTTTTGATGTACGGGAAGAATAGAACTCGAACATATATTACATAATCGAATCAAGACCCGTCTTTCCCAGAAATTGCCACATTCTACTCAAGTTAAGGTGCACCTTGGTGTAACCATAGTCAAATAGGCCCGAGCCATTTGGCTTGAGTTATTCAGTATCAGAGGGCAAATCGGAGGGTTGGCCACAGACGGACTCCGCCAACATCAGTGTTCGCAGTCCGGGTCTGAGTTCACGATCGAAAAACTCGTTATATTCCTCTTTGTCTCCTGCTTTCTTTTTAACTTCCACCACTCTTATATCGTCCGTTAATTCGAAAATTTCAGCTCCGATCGTCAACGGACCTTTCACGCCTTCCCGTGACCCTTCCAAACTAACCCGGAAATCCTTCTTGCGGACCGTGAAACTGACCACTTTTGCAATCTCCTCGAGCTTCGAAATGATGTTAGGAACCGATGCACCGGATACGAACCGTGACTCCTCTCCTCCATCCTCAAACAGCCCAGATAAACTGAACCCACGAGAGAACGAAATCAAGTCGAATGCATTCAAACTAGCCGGTCTAGGCAGGCTCACGAGCCGCTTTCGGGTATCGATTTCAGTCGGCGATTCAAGGTACGAAGAATGATCAGATGCGTAGTCAATTCCATCTGCTTCAATCTCGCCATCCTTCACACTACAAATCTTATCATCATCAAAATAAAATTTGATATGCCTAAACCCCTTCTTGAACCACCGGTTCTCCATGATCTCCGGGATGGTGATCCTGGTTTCTGGGTTGGTGTGAAGCAAACGTTTTAGCAGCCGGGATAACTCCGGTGAGAACCACCGTGGACACCGGAATTCCCCTTTGTAAATCTTTTTATACATAACCATAACATTCTGATCATTAAATGGTAAATAACCAGCCATTAACACAAACAAAATCACCCCACAAGACCAAATATCAACCTTGGAGGCTTCATACCCTTTTCTTCCTAAAACCTCCGGTGCGACGTACGCTGGCGTCCCACAGAAGGTGTGAAACAAACCATCGCCTCTGATTTGTTCAGAAATGGCACTAAGCCCAAAATCGGAGACCTTCAAATTACCATCTTCATCTAGTAATATGTTCTCAGGCTTTAAATCTCTATGGAAAACACCACGAGCATGACAAAACCCTACAGCAGAAATCAGTTGTTGGAAATAATTTCTAGCGATATCTTCTTTTAATCTACCTTTAGCAACTTTATTGAACAACTCACCGCCTTTAACATATTCCATAACGAAATATATTTTGGCTTTTGTTGCCATTACCTCAAAGAGTTGGACGATGTTTGGGTGGCGGACACGGCGGAGGATGGAGATCTCACGTTTAATATGAGAGATTAAACCGCCTTTCAAGATCTGTTCCTTATCGATGACTTTAATGGCGACAGATTCGTTGGTTTTAACGTTGCGAGCAAGGTAGACTTTGGAGAAGGTGCCATGGCCGAGAAGTTTTCCGATCTCGTAACGGCCAAGGAGGAGAAATTGGCCTTCTTTCCTGGTGGTGGTGGTGGGTGAGTTCGCTGCCATGGCGGAGAAGTTGTTTAAGGGTTGGAGATTTACAAATTGAAACTGTGAATTGGGTTTTCCATTTGGGGGATCTGGGTGGATTTTTGTTGATGATGTTTGTGAGGTGCATAGAAACAGGGGGTTTGTTTGTGTACTGCCAAAGGCTCATACTTTATATAACAAGTATCCTACGTGATACCCAACATGTTCCTTGACTAAATCAAGTATATTTTATGAAAGTCATATTTGTATTCCTTTTAATTTCAGAATTATATCGAATTATGCATTAAAAATATAAAAATTGGATTTTAATTTTGATACGTGTGAAGAGAAAAATACTAGATATAAATAAATTTAGCAATGTATAGGAGTGCAATCAGTCTCCTCCTAATTTTATATATTGTATTGGATTCTAATAAAACCAGTCATTTTTTATAAAGGTTCCGTGTATTTTCCGTATGAAGGTTCAGTTTTTATGTAAATGTTTGGTGTTTTATTGTGATGGTTTGTTTCACTGTGATTTCATGGATCTAACGAAAAATAGATGATCTCATGTGATCCCAAATCTATACATATATGATTGTATTTGATGTTTTTTTATTTAAATAATATTTTATTGCTCGTAACACTAGTTAACCTTTGTATGAACGTATCTATAACTCTACTTTTTAACAAAGAAATAAAAATATATCATATTTCTTTCTACCGAATGACTTTCATATTAACAGAAGTGGGGTGGGTTAGTATTATTAATCTATAATTTTTATTGAAATATTCAAAAAACAGTTCTTATAAGCTTCATCGACATGCCACACAGTAATTAATGAACTTGTAGTATGAAAACGTATCTATCATTTATTCGGCTTTTAACATCATCAAGAGTTGAAATTACACCCATCTTTTAATGAAACTTCTTAATCACAGTCATAATTTACATTCAACTGATTTTGTGGTTCAGTACTGATAGCTTATCTGAAACATATATCGTCTTATCCTTTTTGAACGAATAATATAAGTTTTATGTGCATAATAAAATTTCATAATTTGTTTGTATTTTAAAATAAAAAAATCATAACTTGTGGTTTTTAAACAAGATTTATTGGGATACTTCTTAAAATGGGTATTAAGGGTACTAAAAATATTTCACTAAAGACAAATACATTAATGGAAATAAAATAATAAATACACTACAAGTTAAAGGGTTGTGACATCTTTTTATTGGTTCATTATTGATGGAAAAAAAGGGAACCACACATTCAAATGGTTAGCTTTTGTATTTACTATTGAGTTTGACTACCCATTTTGTGGGGGGACCCCTGAGTAGAAGCCAACCATAACAGGGTCAAATTGGCCCTTGGTTGCTTTGGGTATCTGTCGATTATTGTGGCTAGTTGTGTGTACGTGTAATACGGTGAGAGTCATGAATTTTAATGATTTTGAAGTTTTATTGGTTTTATTAGAAAAAGTTTAACGATAATATAAGTTACACTTGGTCTTTATCGATGAAATAGGAGTTATGATTCCAATTACAGTTTATCGATGAAAAAATTTGTATGACAGTTTAAAATCCAACATATTCAAACGACTCCACAAATGTGTTTTATTTACACCAAGAGCAAAGAATCAATAGATCGAGAGCGAGACTGAGAGTTCTAGAGCAATTGAATGGGAGAACTTTTAATAACTCACGGTGAATATCAATTTGAATCTGACCTTGGGGGATGAGGAGAAGACATAGAGGTATGAGAGGGTGAAGACATGGATGAAAGATGTCAAAAGTATCTTAGGAACGTGAAAAGAAAAAGTAATAATGTGCATTGGTAACTTGTACTATATGTTATTTTAATTGTAGATTAAGAGATTTTAATATTGAAAGTATAAAGTAGTAGTACTTAATACATTATGAGTTGTTTTTAAGATTTTGTGTATAAATGTATAGTACTTTATACATTAAAAATTATTTTTAAGACTTTTGATAAATATGATTTATAAGGTAATATAGATAATCAGCTTATCTCTTACAAAGTTTAAGGAGTTGTTTTAAAATTGTTTGAAAGTTAAGGTTGTATTTTTAAATTTTGGTTAATATATATTTCCTTTCAAACCGTCTCTTTCTAAAAATATATACGTTTTTATTTTTCTTATTTCACTTACTTTTAAAAGATATAAGAAGAGAAAAAAAAGGGTTGGTGAGTTTATATTTGTGGTTCTCTGGGTTCAATTAAAAACAAAAGAAGAAAAGTTTCGATTACGTGTTTATTATCAAAATTTGTTGTTGTTTAAAGTATTCTCTATGTGCGATTGCAATGTGAGCTTTTATTTTAAAGCATCGTTCGTTTTGTTTTATTATAGAACTGTATGATTCCATATGTGGGGTGATTTGAAATTGATTATATGCTATTTATCAGCATTATTTTGGGTTTTGATATGTTATTACCAAGTGGTTGGAATAAAGGTGATATAATCAGGAGAGGTGTATTTTGGGATAAGGATGACATAAACAGGAAAGACGTATATTGGGATAAGAGTGACATAATTAACTATATGTTAAAAAATGGGATTTTGATCATATGGAGTTTTGTTATCGCATCATCATGATACGATGAGTTTGGTTTATCGCATCATCATGATACGATGAGTTTGGTTTATCGCATCTATATGATGCGATGAGATGTTATTATCGCATCTTTATGATGCAAGAAAAATGTTTATCGCACCAGTGTGGTGCGAGGAACAGTGTAACACCCTCATTTTTTTTTTTTGAGAATGTCACGTAACCTGAAACAAATTCCTAAATAAATACTCCAAAAGACGTTTGAAATAAAACCGTTTGAACCGTTTACAGCGGAAGTCTTTGAATCGCCCAAAAAATTAACTTAAGTTCTAACCCACCTTATACCAGGTTAAGTTACAAAAGATCAACACAACGTTGCTAGACAAAAGACTAAAAATAAGATGATAATTAGCAACTCTCTAAGCGTGTCCTTTGCCCTTATCCAACCTCGAACTACCTGGCCCTGAGATGCATACTATAGTCAGCTTATAAAGCTCAGTGAGTTCATGATTTGCGTGAATAAAATCATATATTGACATATATATATGGCATATATACATGCTTTATAATAAAAGTCACAGCTTTAGAAAAATATATGTGTAGGACACTGAAAATAAGAGATCTCATATAACGTTTAGTCGGGTATGGGTCATTTAGTCACAAACACGCACTGGGTTGATATTTCAATCTTAATTGATCACCCACTTGTCCGGGTAGTGTTTTATACTGGTCGTGACTTGCTGGTCAAATGTCCACCCTTGAATCATCAAACTTTAATATGGAATAGCATGCTAGAGTTATTCGAAAACTGATTAAACACATAGCATACAACCATTCACAAAATAACATACATGTAAAATATATCATAACATGTGTGTAATTGAAATATCATGCATATGTACACATCATCAACAATTCATATCATGCAAAAATAATTTGTAMTTAGGTATGCATCCYAGTGAAATCTCATGAAGACTCACCTGATAACGTAGATTGCTTAACTAACGTCGCTGACTGGTAACCTACAATTTATAATAGCAAATAGCATATAAATGATTAATTTCTCCCAAAGGCTAACAT